TGTGTGTGTGTGTGTGTGTGTGTGTGTGTAACTAGAAAAGTGAAAATAAAAGTCCACTAAAATAGATAGCATTCCAGAGTGGGCATGAAACCATAACCCATTCTCCGAAAGTCCTTGCAGAAAAGCCAAATTATACATAAGGAGAATATCGTCATTCCTTTGGGAAATATATATCATCTATCTATCACACATTCTGGTTAAAAAAAAATGTGTTCCCTAACACTGCAAGTTTTTCCTCATTTTATTTCATCTGGATGTAGTATTTATACATATATTTTCTTAATAAACGGTAGAAAATTTTAGAGTAAGCTTTAGATTGGTGGTTTTCCAATTACATTCCTATGGCTCTAAGGAGGTACCCCACAGAAATCAATGCGGTTCTATTGTCATTGATCTTGAAAAGAGGAAATAAAAGATTTTAGGATTCTGTGAAAGATTTTATTTGAAGAAAGGATATAAAAGCCATCTATCTTATGTCAATTGGTAAATGGATAAACAAAATGTGGTATATATCAAAACAATGGAATACTAGTCAGCAATGAAAAGGAAAGAATTATTGATACATGCTACATGGATGAACCTCAAAAACCACTAAGTGAAAGAAGCCAGACAATAAGCCTAACTACTGCAAGATTCCATTTATATGAAATTTCTAGAAAAGGCAAAACTATAGAGATAGAAGGCAGATCTGTGGCTGCTAAAGGATGGGAATGGGACTGACTACAAATTGACCCAAGGAAACTTTTTGTGGTGATGTAGTGTTCTAAACTGGATTATGAGTATGGTTATACAACTGTATAAATTTATAAAAATTCATTGAACTATAAACTTAAAGTGGGTGAATTTTATGGTAACGCTATTTTTTAAAAATAAAGCTATTTTTAAAAAAAGAATTAAAGCTATATCAAGACTTAGAGAAATTTTTTACAAAATATTGTCGAATAAAAAAAGTAAAATACAGAAAAATGTATATAATACAATCCTATTTTTGTAAGCAAACAGCCCATTAAACCCCACATATGAGTATATACATTTTTACGTGGCATGGAACATGCTAACACAAGTTTCTTAAAGAGGGAACAAAGCAGCAAGCAAAAAGGGGGAAAAAAACCCTGTATTTCAAAAAAATCTCCTTTATATGTAAACTGTATGTGCATAAATAAACTAAATAAAAAGATATGTTTAGATGTATACATACTAACTTGCAGAGATCATGATATACCGCCAAGTGGAAAAAGCAAATTACAGAGAAACTATATGATTCCATTTTGGTAAAAACCAAGTAACAAAAGCTCCATATATGTTTTTTTAAAATCTGTCTAGATTCAGTTGTAAGCTTGATTTGGGAGAAATAATTTATAACAATTGTCTGCACCCTATACCTAATGATTTAAGTTCAAATTCAAGTTCATGTTCATCTGGAAATAAGCAAGATGGAGAGCTTTATGTCTTACACAAGAATATCTTTGCTTCTGCCACTGACTCAGACTCAGAGACAGAAGAGTAAGCAGATTCTAGGCAGTGTACAAAGGTTAACTTTTGTAATAGAATAGGAGAAATGGGGTAGTGGTAGCAAGTGTATAAATCATAGCTGCTAAAGGATTCAGGATGGCAAAGGAGGTGTTAGGGAAGTCAGAACAGATACATTCTGGACAGATCAAGTAAATGAGATTTTTGACCAGTTGTAACTGCTAAAATGTACTCAATGATCACAATGTGCTAGGCAACTTACATTGTTATAAGGGCTTTGTATATATTAATTTATTTAATCCTTACAATAAGAGAAAGTTCTATTTTTATTGTCCCTTTATAAATGAGGAACTACAGTATAGAGAGCTTAGGTCCAAGGTCACACAGCTGGTTAGTGGCAGAACCAAAATTTAGTATTCACACACAAAAATATTCTGAAGTCATGTTCTCCAAACAATCTTGAGGGTGGAATTAGTGAGCTTTCATTTTCTACGGTATATAATTTTGTTACCTTTGACACTTTTATATTGTTATTCTTACATTTATCTTACAATAAAAACAAATTTTAAAAGGAAAAAAATGACTCTTACCAATTACACAGCATGTTTCTACACGATATTTATCAATCTCACAGAGGTTGTGAGCCAGATAACTCAACTCAGATTTCATGCTCTAGAAGAAAAGAGAAAGATGATCTAAGCATGATAAAGTAACTCCCTAAATTATTTTTCTTGTAGCTAATGCAACTGGGTGACAATCCAACCCAGATGAAAGCACAAAAGAGCTTAATCAAGTCCAAGTAAAGGAAGTAGCTCACCCTGACATAAAGAAGGTTGGAGAATGTGTCCATATTTTCAATCCTGTAAGGGTCTTGTTTCCTTAGCTCATTAAAAATAGAGAGGGCTTTGTCGATATCTGCAGCAATAAGATAGTTCAGAAAACAACACAGTGCTACTTACAGGGATTGATGGTATTTCATACTGTCCTTATTCACTCACCTCTGATATTGTGATAGGCAACTGCAATTTGGGAAACAATATATGAGCTCTTAGAGAAGCCCACATCAATAAGATTCTGATACTTTTGCAGGGCCTCCTCTATCAACTGCAACTCTGTGTATATATGAGCCAGAAAAAACTCTTTCATCCAGGTGTCTGGCAAAGACAGGAACTTCAGCTGGCAGCAGGAGAGAGAGGGACACACTTAATATACTTTGACCTCTCTCCCAAATGAACATCAAAGAACTATTTTTACGGTCTAAAGGATATATCGCCAAAATTTCATTAGAGCACCTAATAATGAACATAGGGCACTTCAGTTATAAGAGGACTTACAAACACAATAAGGAGAAATGGCCTAGTTGGGGAAGGCTTCAAAGAAAAGACAGGATTTGAGGTGAGTCTTTGAAAATGAGTAGACTTGAATAGAAAAAAAAAGGGAGAGGAAGAGAAAAGAGACAACATTCCAGGTAAGGGCAATGACATAGAGGAAAAATGGTCATGATGAGTGTGGGTGAAGAGTGAGAACAGGAGCCTTTGTGTTAGTAAATAAGGCTGAACTGGTAGAGTGGGTCCTATGTGCAACAGGAAATGGGATGCAATAGGAAACCACTGCAATTTTTTGCAAGAGAATGACATGATGACATGAGTGTTTTAAGAATGGAAATGAGAGTGTAAAAATGGGAAAGCTAATTAGAAAGTATCTATTACTTATAAGAAATCCAAATTGGAGATGATAACCAATATGGCAAAGAAAACCAAGAGAAGAGATGCAAGAAGGAAACCATGGCAATGTCTGGAGATTGACTAGTAAAGGGAGATAAGAGAAAGGAAAGAGACAAATATAACTCTGAGGCCTTAAGACTGGGTGTCTTAAGAAATAGTAATGCCAATGAGAGTCTATCAAGTTGGGAGGAAGAAAGAGAATTTGGTAGGTAAGCTGAGAAATCTGGTTTTGTTTTTTTTCAGTTCAGAGATAAAACAATGAAAGTCTAGTAGGCAATTAGAAATAGATGAATACAAGTAAACCAAGATAAGATTTCAGACACAGATTTAGTAGCATATATCATTATTTGGAGAAATCAACCAGCCTTTGTCTCTTTAAAGCAAACAAAAGGAAATGTGTTATCATTACCATTAACTACTAAAGAATAGCAAAGTAAACTCTATAGACAATGTTCTCTAATAATGACTAATGAAATGACTGCAGTTTACAAATTATTTAATTAATTGACAAATCTTCAAATCTTTAGAGAGTCCTATGAGAGCCAAGGAGACTTTAAAAATGTTTTAATACAATCCTTGATATCAGAGAACCCTTTACTATAGCATCTTTGGAATTAGGAGAGAAACTAACAGCATTTAGTCTATATAATAAGTTATAGTAAAATTTAAATATGAAAACATAAACATAAAAAGATATTCTAGTACAACTGGATGCAAATCCAATAGCTACTACCCAACAAGAGCTAGATATCTGTCTTTCAAATTAAGACCTAAATCCCAACGGCGAAAGAGATTAGAAAGAGAACAGAGCTAGCTCTAATAAAAAGCTTAGCAAACCTCTCTCCCCTCACCCCATTATTACAGAACTACAAAAGGCTTGGAACACAGGATTTTTCACATAGCTCATCTCAATTTACCATCTCTTTGTCTGTAATCAAGTTACAGAGTTCTAGCCAGGCTCCCCAATGCAAAGGCAAAACATGAGTAGCCTCCACAAATACATCAATGGCCTCTTTCACCAAGTCCAGTTTTCGAAGCACAACACCATACCTAGGAAAGAAGGAAGCAATCAGAGGAGAAGTTAATGCTCTACAACATGTCTCTTCTACTCAGAAGAATATATTATAGAAAGTTCCAAATTACTCTAACACTTACAAATAAAGACCAAATCCATCAAGTTCCCGAGCCTGGTGTTTTTTGCTGAGCTCCACTCTCAATTCTCTAAGAGCCTCATTTTTTACTTGTCCTTTTTCCAGAGGTCCTAGAAAAGAAACAAAGTATCTGATCTAAGACTGCTGATCTTCATTTCAGAGACCTAGATATTTCCTTTGGCATCAACCAATTACACCTGAAACTTTTAAGAAACAATGATATCTTACTTCGTTTACTTTATTCCAAAAATCACAACTGATAACTGGCCTACAATCATATTTTGTAAGGCTTACAGTTTTTAAAAAAAATTTGAATTAGTTATCAATGTTTAAAAATCAGAAGCCTCAACTAAAAATGTGAATTTCCAGCTTCAGGTTGCAAGAAATGGGGTAGGGCCAAGGATATAAAGCCCTGGCAATACCAGACCATAAGGTAGCCCTCAGCTGGAGCTGGGTGACAACCAGCCAGTTGTGTTCTCCAATTTGCAACAGTCCTCCTCAGACCACTTCATACATGTATATTAACTGCCTGGCTCCTGTACACATTTGTGTGTGCAACCTCTGCTTTAATCCAAAAGGTAAGAGAAAAAAAATCATACCTAGGCTATCAACTGTTTCATCATCCTTCTTCTTTTCTCCAGACTGTAAGAGAATATCAGCAAATTGGTATTTTTGCAGATTACTCTGAACCTGTTCTAAAACCAGCAGCCTGATTCTACCTAAAGGGCCAAGTCCAACCAAAATGGCACGAACTATTGGTCACTAATTTTAAACAACTATTTAGGGGCTCCAATTGGTCAAATGTGGAATAATTTGAAAACCAAAATAATTAAGTAAAATAATGAGTTACAAACAATTAAAGATATAGGAATCTCTGAGTCCATGCTGACACCAGATAAATAGTAAAATAAACAGAGAAAGAAAGGGAAGGCTCTTGCTTAGAGTAGAACACAAAGCGAATAGTAAATGTGGAGAGACTGCTGAAGCAGAAAAGCATCATTTTGTAGCATCACAGAAAAAATACTTAAGGCAAGAATTAACAATGGATTTCTTGACTGATGGATCTTTAGGCTATTTTTTTTTTTTACTATTACAAAAAATACCTCAGTGAACATCCCTATACACATATGCTTGAGTACATATTAAAGTATTTCCATTGGACAGGTTTCTTTAAGTAGATTTGTTTGGTCATAGTATTTCAAGTTGACATAATCTGCCAAAATTGACTTTCAAAATGGCTGTATGAACTTTTACTTCTAAAACAGGAGGTCTACTGCCCCACACCTTTATCAATAATGAATATTATCAATATGTTTAATACCTTTCTTTCATACCATCATTCTTTTTACTTTATTTCTAATATCCTCTTTATTTTTTTAAAGTATTTATAAAATACATTCACCAAGTAGACTATTGCTAAGCTATTTTTTTTTTAATGCCTACAGCACCTGGTCTTCCTAGGTGGTCTCTCATCCAAGTACTAACCAGGCCCGACCCTGCTTAGCTTCCAAGATCAGACATCAGGCTTGTTCAGGGTGGCATGGCAGCAGACCATGGACTGTGGCTCCACTAGGATGTGAACCCAGGACCTTCTGTGTGTGAAGAAGACATGCTAATGGCTACACTATAGAACCATGTCCTATTGCTAAGCTATTTAAAAGATTTAACTTTTTCCACTTGGTTCTAAATATGGATGTTTCACTGAAGGTAAATGGCCCTCACCAGATATCTAGAATACATGTACAGGAAATAAGCTTTCTTGCTATTGCAGCCATGCAGGAAATGCGCTGCCCGATCATACTCTTTAACATCAAAGTAGGCTTTGGCCAGGGTGTAAGCATCCATGTCCTGGGCATCCTCCTAGAAAAGAGACAAATTTATGAAAGTGGTTGGGAATAGGACAACAAAAGTTCAAATCAAATATACATATTTATTAATTTCAAGATGTAAGCGAAGATAATTATTTTGCTCCTCTTAAAAACCTAATAGATTTATTTATTTATTTATTTATGAAGTAAGGTCATAGAACTTTTTCCCCCCAAAATAAAAAGTTGGGGGGAATGCAGTTACATTAATATGATGGCTAAGTGGAGGGCCAGGGGAAGGAGGGAGCAATCGGGGGGATCATTTTATGAACATTATAGATGTCTAATCAATGTACTGTATATTTGAAACTAATTTAAATAAATTTTTTTTTAAAAAGTTGGGGGGAAAATAAAATTTTAAAAAGTAAACCAACACACTCAGAAACTTGTATTGTTTCTTAAATGTAGTGTGAAAGCACTAGTAGTGTAAAGCACTGCCTAGGCTTTAGTGTTTGAGATCTGGATTCAAATTCTAACTCCCTGATTTCCTGTTTCATGACACTAGTAGAGAATTTAACTTAGTTTGCATGAATATTCACTTATTCCTTGTAAAATGGAGACAGTAACAGATATGATATGAAGAAAAAGTGAAAAAGTCATAGAAAATGTCTGGCATTAATATCTGACATTCTCTTTGTTCTCCAGGCTTTTAGATTCCTACATAAATGCAATATACTGTGCAATTACTTATACTTTTTGTACATCAAGAAAATTTTGACAAGTTAGTATTGCAAAAAGCATAGAAAACAGCTATAATTCTCTAAATTAAAAAAATGAAGTAAGGCTTAAGTTAAAAATACGCAATTCCTGCAAATTCTAGGGATAAGTCGATTAAAACTTTAATAATTTCATTCTCCTCATCCTTCTTGCCCCAAATATTACAAGCACAAAACTAAAAAACAAAACATATTCAGTTTCTTCATCCTTGGATCGACATGTCTTAAATGTGACCATTCACATTTAAGATTCTAGTGGGCCTTTTCACATCCATTCGGCATTTGCTTATTTCTTCCCCTGCCCCCTCTCACTTGCATTATACCTTTTGGAGTAGGAAATAGTCACTGTTTTTAAGTGTGTGGGGGGGGGACAGAGAATCGAGAAATGGCATCTTCAGGAAAAATAAAATGAAAAGCATTCACACTGCACAGACTATATAAACATATGTACTACAGACCATACATAAAGTATATTTGTATCTTACTTAATTCTCTCAATAGCCCCATAAAGTGAATACTATTACCTGCACTTCACAGATGAGGAAACTATGGTTCAGGTTAAGTTGCCAAAAGTCACTAGTGTGGATGAGATTTGAATCCAGAGCTGTCTGAATCTAAAGCCTGTTTCGCACTGTTGTAAAAACCTTCGATTCTTCTTTTCATTAAGAATACTGTCTACGTTGGGCTACGAACCCTAAAAGGCTGAAATCTTAAGGACTGTTTACTAATTCTCTCAAGCTTAAGAGCACCACCAAATCTTTCAAAGCTCAAAAGAAGCACACAGATAAAATCGCATAAAACACCAAGCTCCAAAACAAACAAACAAACAAAAACACATCCAGCTCTTTAAATGCTTTA